CCCCACTCGCCATGGGTCATGCCTACGCAAAACCTTGCCGAGGCAGCGAGGGGATGAAGGGTTGTACAACGATCAATAGCACAGAGCAAATGAACGTTCAGAGCCAGACCGTCGATAAATACCAGTGGACTCGGTGCACGGTAAAACAGATGTACGGCGGTGAGTGGCTGTACAGCAGCAGTAGTACCCTTCGAATTCAACAGCAAAGAAAGGCAGCGTTGCGGTGCCCTGTATGAACAGCTGTTCTCGCTTTCGATACAGCGCGAAATGGAATCGTGGAACTGCTTGTGCGCATCCAGCAGACTTTGGCGGCCATTTCAGTCACCGCTACGCTATCTCGTCCAACACCTCAACTTGTCTACTCTGTAGTTACGGGGCTCGTTGCTAAGTAGCCACGCCCACCGCTTGCTGCGACTTTTCCCTCAGGGATGGATCAACGTGACCCAGTGCTACGCCGGACTATGGCACGCCGGTACTGCGCCGCGAGTCATTGGTCACACTTTGGTCAAGCACTTTTCCCTTCTCGGGAAGCAAACAATAGCGCCGTTGATATCAGAGAGGCAGAAGGGGAACCCAATTTTTCTTTTCCCTCTCATCCTGAACATGCACACAAAAAGAATCTCAAGGCTCAACTCACTGAGTGGTTTTCTTGGAACGGGTGAAGGTCAGAATCTTGACATCAGATAGAAGTACCCTGTCTGTCATGGTCCTCTTGAGCCGAGCCTCCGAGCTCCGTTGCTGTGCTACTCTCGCACTCTGTTACTGATTGTGCGCGCGCCGCGCGGTTGTGCTGTTGAACCTGCCGGAGAATCTCCACTCTTGAAAAAATCTGAACTCCGATCAGAGTTGATGGAGCTGTACAGTAGGCAGAGAACCTTTTGAGGAACTGCCGGAGTTCACGCTTCCACGTGCGTGCTGACAAGGAAAGCCGCCTATGTTCGGTTGTACTCCTACAGCTTGGCTGTGCTTCTGCTGTGCACTTGTACGACTGAACTGCCGTGCGGCAGACCATGCGGCAGGATTGGCATACGGTAGGATACACGGCAAAAAACGCATTTGTCGGAGCCCCTTTCCTACCCCCTGTATCATGCGCCTTCCGGATCTTCATGAAATGCCGTTTTTCATCATCCATCGGAAATCGGAAAGAGCACTTGCTTGGGAATTGTCTGGGAAGAGGTTGTTGCCCCTGCGCGTTGCACGCTGCACACACTGCCTTTTTCCATCGTAGTTTCGGTATGGCGCTGATGCTTCGACGAGTCGGCTTGTGCGTGGCCATATCCCTCGGCCTTGCGCAAGCGTTCCTGACGTCTGCAAGCCTTCCTAACTCTTCTTCCTTGAAACAACACGGCCCCAGCTCAAGGTCATCGGTTGCGGGCGCCCGCAGCAGCAGTGATGTTCGAGGTGGTGCTCGCTCTGTGGGTCACGCCAGCAACACGGGAACGGTCATGAGCGGGGGGGAGAACGATCTGTATGTCGTGGGAGCTGGCTACCTTGGGTGAGCGAGCACATTCGTTGGGAGCAGCAGTCTGGCACACGAAGTTTGTTGCGTCCCGCCCCTCGCTTCCTGCTGCCTTGTTGCTCGGTTGCTGCTGCTGGCAAGGAGTTCGAGGTATTACCTTGACCATCAACCGTTTTTGGTGCTGTTTTTGTCTCTCGTGCACTCGCACAAGGCAGGCAGCAGCCGGTGAGTATGGAAAGGACGGGAGTTCGTTGGCGAACTCTGTGTGTGCATCGCTGAGAGAGAGGGTTGCTATTGTGTCATGGGCGAATGTTCAGTTGCATTGATCTACATGTACATGTCTCCGCGTGAGGCCTACCGCACTACCACTGCCGTGCATGACTTCGTACATGTACGTACATGTATGCATCCAAATACTTCATGGCATCATGTACGTTCATCAATCATCATGAGCGTCTTCCCACAGTGACCGCCGCAAACTGCATGTTCTTGTGCATGCCCACCCTCTTGGATGCCCACCCGCCCCTTATCACGCGATTGGTTGCAACGTTCAACTGAGTGCATCCTCTGTTGCATACATAGGGCCGTGAGCTACATCACATCTCTGCTTTGTGGCATTGCTATTTATAGTAGATACGCCAGTGAAACGCCAGTGACAGAAGCAGTGGGTTGTACAAGTACTGCTGTACCTTTTGCAATATTGTCGAAACTGGTGGGTATTGTTGATGGCCTCCATGTTGGAAGTTTGCCTCCAGGGCGTAGAGGACGCTTATGTTCGTTCATTTTCTCACAAGAAACGCAGCAAAAACATTTTATCTGCCCTCATTTCTTGTGTGTGGCACACCCCCGCTGAAGTGTAGCAGTAGAGCGTCGAAAGGGCGCCCCGGCCAGCGCAACACCTGCCAGCTGAGGACACCACTGGGGTGCACAGCAGCAAGAGCAGACGTCCGTTGTGCACAGCTTGGCCGCTCCTCCCAGAAAGAAACAATGCACACAGGCCCTCTCGTTTTTGCGTTTTATGGTTAGCATTAAGCGCGCTAACCGATGAAAAGACGTTACTCTCAACGCATCAGTACCACACCTGCATGAGGGTGCTGACAATGATGCCCACCCTCGCGTTTCCCTCTGCCGTCCCCCTTTCCTCTTCCCGTAATCCTCCCCGTCCCAACGACCCGACTGCGCCTTTGGCGCGGTGTCTTGCTTTCGCAGCAAGATCATCGGGGAGAAGTGGGGCTCGAAGCATCCCGAGGCGAAGATGTACGGTGAGACCCGCTCGTACACGCGGCACGAGACGTTCATGCCGCCGGGGATGACCCATGTCATGCGAAAGAACAGGGAGGAGGAGGGGGTCAAGTGCCCCAACGTGGTGTTCTGTGCCAACCCCGGCGGTGAGTGCTGGAGCGGCAGCCCGGGTACGAAGATGNGGAGTACCTGCAGTTGATGTATCCGCACAAGCTTTGACGAACACAAACACACACTTATAATTATGACACACACACCTACCTGCTTGCAACCCTGTTTGTGTCTATCGTCTGTGAACTCTATCCCTCTCTCTCTCTCTCTCTCTCTCTCTCTCTCTCTCTCCCTCTCTCTCTCTCTCGCTGTCTCTCTCTCGCTGTCTCTCTCTCGCTTTTTCTCCCTCTCGCCCCCCTCCGGTGTTTGCCACCGGGGTTGGGTTTTCGTCGCTTGGCAACGACGTTGTAAAATATGCCAATTCACTTCGTGAACTCGGCAACCTGGTTACCTTTTCTTTTTTTTTACTTCTGTTTTTTTTTTGGCGGTCACCACAATGGTGGTCGAGTAGATAATGTTGTGCGGGGTGGAGAAGCCTCACTCCGCGCAAGGGGGATGATCGCACCACGTTGTGTTAAAATGGTCAAGCACCCTCGAGGCGGTTACACAGTGCTTACAACTGTCTCTGGAAGTGAAAGCACCAGAAAATACACTAAGTCATACGCAGCTGTCATCCTTATGCAAGGAAATAAGCACAAGATGCCGAACACCCTTAGCAGGANGAAGGAAATAAGAAGGTAGTGAAAGAACTCGAGGCGGCGCAGATGAAAGCAGCGAAAACCATCCTAGGATGCTCCAGGCGCACAAGTTATGCAGCCGTGAGAGGAGAAGTGGGGATCCAATCCCTACGGTCGGGAAGAGACGCGAGGAAGCTGACCTGGCAGTATCGCATGTGCGGGATGGGAGAGGAGAGGTTGCCGAGGATTGTATGGGAGGCGAAGTGGGCAAACAAAAAGCGGGGTAGACAACCCACGGAATGGGTCAAGGTTGTAGAGGACGTATGGAAGGGGCTCGACATCGACAAAGATGAAACGCTGGAAACGGAGGGTCT